GCTGAAGAATATTCCATTGTGTGTATATATATATATATATATATGCTATATATATACATACCACCTCTTCTTTATCCCTTCGTCAGTCGATGGACACGTGGGCTGCTTCCATATCTTGGCTATTGTAGATAATGCTGCTATAAGCATAGGGGTTCATGGATCCCTTTGAATTAGTATTTTTGTATTCTTTGGGTCAATACCCAGTAGTGCAACCGTCGGGTCATAAGGTAGTTCTATTTTTCACTTTTGTGAGGCGCCTCCGTACTGTTGTCCACAGTGGTGGCACCAGCTTGCCTTCCCACCCACAGGGCAGGAGGGTTCCTTTTCTCCACAGCCTCGCCAACACCTGTTGTTTCTCGTGTTGTTTTTAGCCATTCTGACAGGTGTGCAGAAATGCTGTCTGCTTAGAGCTTTGCTCTTCTCACCTCGCCGTTGCTATTTCAGCAGAAGCATTACGAAGTGGTAGAAATGCTGGCGGCGGCAAAGCCACCTTCGTGCTGCCGCTGGCCTCGCTTTCCTTACCCAGCCCGGCGCCCCTTACCGCCGCAGTCTGGCCATTCTGCAGGGAACTGGGCTACAGACACAAGCGGCCCTGTTCTAGCTCTCTCTGTGTGTGTAAAGCTTCGGACATCCTACGACATCAGAATCCTCTCGGTTCCAAATAACGAGGAAGACAAATCTGTGGGACTCGGATGAGGTATTTCTCTCAAGCAATTGATCCCTGTAGTTACCGGTGTCCAGGATTTTAGGCTGTTTGCAGTTCCCGATTTGTGATTTTATAAAGGGCTAATTTTAACTTTGTTTTCTTACACCAGGCTAGTATTTTACTTAGGGATGAACAAGCCAGTCATGTAAATGAGGTGTGGTAAGAGGCAAAATCATCTGAGAGGTCTGGTTATTAAATGAAGCGACTGTCTTAAAACACACACACACACACACACACACACACACACCTGGTTATTAAATGAAGCGACTGTCTTAAAACACACACACACACACACACACACACCCAAAACGGCATGCTGTTTGTATGTGAGACTCCATAAGGAAAAAATAATCTCTAAGAATACTGGCAAATACTCACAAGGGGCACATTTAAAAGCCTCTTCCTATTCTCCAAGCCCCGGCTTTGTTCAAACGAATTAAGAGCACTTCTTGGCATTACACTGAAATGTTTGGTTTACTTAAAAGATTCACACTATTTGAGAAAGGTGTATTCAGAAAATCAGCTAACTCCTACCATTTCTCCAAGCGTCAGAATACCCAAATAATTTATACCAGAAAAATAGATTCTGCTCTTAAAAGGAAGAGGCAGTGGCTTCCAAATGGACTGGATTTGGCCACTCAGGGCTTCAGAAAGAGCCCAGGGTTATCACAAATGGAGGAGGAAAACAGAGACCTTTGCAACAAATTACTCCAAATTTGCCGTCAGGTTGCTTTTGCAGAAAGCAGGAATAACTTCAAATTATCTCGTGAATATTGCAAGGCCAGTATGATCTCTCTAACATGGAGTTTCGAGTTTACTCCTATGCAAGGTACTTGTGGACTCAAGAGAGTAGGGCACTCATGTCATGTGAAGGCATCCCTTCTGGTTCATGCCTTTGGGGTGGAACACATTATCTGGTATTTATGTAAGCAACATAGTTTTAAGGAACATCAAGCTTAGACTTTGTCAGGTAATTGTTGAGCATCACTGTGCTTAAAACCCACCCCTGTATTGTTCTTTTCTTTTGCTACCAGGACGTATTGTTGCCTCGCAATAAACTCCATCGTTGGGACCAGGAAGACCCACCTAATTAGTAAACGGGTGACTATGTGTGTGTGTGCACGTGCGCTTCAGGACTCTTGAAGTGTTTGCCAACATCACCTCCCAAATCATTTGTCATTTGACAGCTATTTGTGACCTTCGCTTCCAGGGTGTTTATATAAAAAGAGCATGAGTATTTCATATCAGCCAACGTAATGAGCAGGGGAGAAAAGTCAGAAAGAAAACAGCCCCCTTCTAACGGTCCTGGGGTTTGTCTGTGTTGTAGTTATGTGTTCCAAGCATTGCGTATGGAAGAGAAGCAGCAGCCTGTCCCTCAGGAAACCAATCCTCCAATCAATGGAATGTTTAAATGCTTCTGGCTTACCTTTAAAGGGAACCTGAGTTTGGTCTGAGACTTTTCTGTATTTACCCTTCTGTAGCTCTTTTATGGATTTGTCCCTGGTGAAAATCCTGAGATTTTAAGAAATCCCAGACATCAACTACTAAATTCTCAGCTTTGGCTCGAAATACAAGAACTCCTTTTTTTTTTTTTGTCTGAAGAGGGTAATGATTACACTTACAGACGGTATAATGAAAAAGCACCAATGCAGTTTATTTTAATGCTTCTAATTCACGAGAGTCACTTCTTAATGCTACAGCAGAAGTCAATTCACCAATACTTAATTTGGAAAGCACAGTCAAGAAAGACTCCAATTTTCATTGGGACTACACAACTCAGCACAGTACTAGGCACCATGAATCTAGAACAAAAAACCGAAGTATGCATGATACAAGTAGATCTTAAACTCCAGGGGATCCATGAACCTCTGAAAAGTGTATACAAAAAAGCTGTGTAGTGTGTGCATACATTTTTCTGGGGAAAGGTCCCATGACTTCAGTCAGCTCCTCAAGGGGCCCAAACAGTACACAGGAGAATTCTAATCTCCTCCGTATTTCCAATGAGGGAAGCTGTGGACCTCAGACAGTTCACTTTCGCACATCTCAGAGTCCGTTTTCGTGGAAAGAGGGTGGAAAAGAAAACAAATGAAAGCAGCTCGCAAGGACTAGGCAGGGAAAAACTCCAGAGTGTTATTTACTTTCTAAGTTTAGTAACATGTTCTGGGTTAGGGAAGGGAAATGGGGATGTAAGTGCTAAGGGAAGCTGGAAGCAAGAAGACTCCTACGAGCTTTATCAAATCCTCACAAACACCACACACTTTAGTATGAATAAAGCAACAGCAAGAATTTAAAATGCAATGTAACGCAAGTCCAATTTTTCAGTTTCGGCATATTAACAACCTATTTTTATTTTTGAATTATCACAAACTTCAATCAGAATACTTTAAAAAATACCATTCTGCATGCGTTTAACAAATCTGACAGAGGACAAGTACCCAGCTGACTTGCATTATACTATGAAGTTTTACCTGAACGGCCGGCCAATTAACACAGATTTAAAATCATTAAGTACAGGTAACAGTGAAAATTTCAATGCATTATTCTGCTGGCATCCTACCACTAGGCACACGTTCATGTAACACTACTAGCGATTACCCTGGAGCACGGGCAGAATGCGGATGGAGGAAGCTCCCTACCAAGCAAGTTTAAGGGATTAAATGTCGTCGACGTCGTCGTCGCTACTGAGGACAAAGCTGCTGCCTGTGGAGAGGGGCCCTTCGTCTTTCACGTTCCCCACGCCCCTCACTGTCCCTCTCTCGTCAGAGTCGTCAAACAGCTTCTCACTGGAATCCTCGTCGTCGAACAGCTTCCCGTTGGAATCATCCTCTTCGAACATCTTTTCGTCCACGTCTTCATCTTCCTTTACCTCTACTCCTTCTTCCTCGTCCTCTTTGTCATCCGAGTCTTCGAACATCTTCTCGTCAGCGTCTTCGAGCCCCTTTTCATCTGCGTAGTCTTCGTCCTCCTTGTCGTCTGACTCGTCATCAAACACCTTTTCGTATGTGTCTTCCCCTTCTTCCTTGTCATCGGACTCTTCGTCAAACTCTCTCTCGGAGACCTCCTCCTCAAACACTCTTTCGGAGCTGCTATCTCCAAATTCCGATTTGTCAGAGTCATTGTCTTCGAACTCCCTACCGAGAATGTTTTCACCAAACTCCCTGTCGGAGCCGTCCTCGTCAAAATCCTTCTCAAGGCCGTTCTCTTCAAATTCTTTCTCGGAGCCGTCTTCAAACTGCTTTTCAGAGCAGTCTTCTTCAGATTCCCTTTCCGAGTCGTCTTCATCAGACTCCTTTTGGGGGCTCTCATCCTCTTCATACTCCTTGCTGGGGCCGTCTTGGTCAGATTCCTTTTCAAGGCCATTCTCTTCATAATCATCTTTGAGCCTCTTCTTTTTGGATTCCCGTTCGGGGCCATTCTCTTTAGACTCTGTTTTAGGACTACCCTCTTCGAACTCTTTCTCAGGACTGCCTTGTCCGGACTCTCTCTCAGGGTAGTCTTCTTCACGCTCTCTTTTGGGGCAGCCTTCCTCAGACTCTGTTTTGAGGCAGCCTTCTTCAGATTCTTTCTGGGGGCAGCCTTCTTCAGCCTCTTTCTCGGGGCCACTCTCTCTGGCATCTTTTTCAGAAGCATCTCCTTCAAATTCTCCCCCATCTTCGGTTTTTTCAAACTTCTTTTCATCGATAGGTTCTTCGAATGCCATTGCATTTGTGGCTTCTTGTGCATTCATTTTAGATGTGCTAGGGTGCTCTGAAAAATGCCTTACTCTAGAAGGCCCTGCCCTTTCCAAAGCACAAACGGAATTCGAACGCCGGAGGCCTCTGTTGGCCTCGGGAGCATTGAGGAAAGCCTCCCATCCTCTCAGCCTTTCCTCCCTTTCTCTTGTGGTCTCTTCCACCTGTGGAGAAACGGGCATTGCCAGTAAAATAAGTCTGAGGCACAAAGAAGTAACAATCTCTCTGCACACTTCTGCTACTGACACAAGTACCTGATTTCATAAAGCATCTCTTCTCAGGAAATCAGAGAATTTCCCGAGCTTCAGTTTTCAAAACTTTACATCTCAATCCACCAGAGTGGATCTTTTTTTTTTTTTTTTAAAGATTTTATTTATTTATTTGACAGAGAGAGATAGCAAGAGCAGGAACACAAGCAGGGGGAGTGGGAGAGGGAGAAGCAGGCTTCCTGCCGAGCAGAGAGCCCGATGCGGGGCTCGATCCCAGAGCCGAAGGCAGACGCTTAACGACTGAGCCACCCAGGCGCCCCACTAGAGTGGATCTTAAGATCATTTAAATAAATGCCCAACACCACAGTCCTGCCAAAATGTTTCATCAGTGAAAAAGTTAACATTTGAACTCTCTCCATACTTTACTTATCACTCTTCTGAGCACCCCTCAAAATTTCAGGCTGAGAAACCAAAAGACAAACATTTTTCTTTCTAGGCTCTGAATGCAAAGTATTATTTAGAAGAAGTATCGTTGCATTAAAGAGGCTAAACTGAACCCAAAACTTACCTTGAAGGACCACTAGATCGGTATTTGTTGGTAATGATACAATTTATGTGCCCTCGGCAGTTGCAGATCTTACCTGATAATCTGTAGTTCCATCCCACGCCTGGGCAGTGATTTGACGGCCACCAAACCACCTTCCATCGAGAGTCTGAATACAATAATCAGCTTCCTCTGGATCCCTGAAGGACACAGAGGCCACACCATCTGGGTGTCTCTAGAAAGGGAAGAAAAAGAAGGAATGAATGAGAAAACTAAAAATAAAGCACACACTTTGACAAAAGAGGTATGCAGTAGTGTTCTGATGATTTAAGCTTGAAGGTTTTATGTAAGAAGCAATTCTTCCTTTTTACCCCAGCCAGTAACTTGAAGCTAGTTGCTTCTTGTTTTTTAAAGATTTTATTTATTTGAGAGAGAGAGAGAGAGACAGCGAGAGAGTGCACGAGCGGGGGGGGGGGGGGGGCAGAGGGAGAAGCAGACACCCCGCTGACCAGGGAGCCTGATGCAGAGCTTGATCCCAGGACCCCACGATCATGACCCAAGCAGAAGGCAGTCGCTTAACCGACTGAACCACCCAGGCGCCCCAAAGCTAGCCACTCTCTCTAGCATCTTTTTCAGAAGCATCTCCTTCAAATTCTCCCCCATCTTCGGTTTTTTCAAACTTCTTTTCATCGATAGGTTCTTCGAATGCCATTGCATT